GGAGCGCTCCGCTGCCGGGCGGTTCTGCCGTCCGCCAGGCTAAAGGGAGGAAACGGCTCTGGCGTCACCTTCCGAGTTGCCGAGAATCATATCTATAGCGTAGGGGTGTCGCGGTGAAACCCGTGCTCGGCTGCGGTAGGCCTCAATTGGAAACTTCATTTTCACTGTGGCCGTGTTAACTGCATAAAAGAAGCCTTCCCCGAAGGTGCCGCCAGGCCCCTAGGAACGCGTGTTCTGCAGCAAGCATCTAAAAATACATGTTTTTTTGACCAGTGACAAAATATTTCTTAGTATGCCATGCGGATTGCCAACAGAATAATCCGTGGTTGAAAAGCATTAGGCAGGTTAAACGAGCATCTCTTTTTAGATGCGCTTGGTTAATTGAGCTTCTGTGATTGAGTTCTTTGAGGCTAGGAAGCAATTTTTTTTTTTTTTTAAGACAACAGAAAAAGGAACTGATGTTTTTTCCACCGCTCAACCTCTTCATCTTTTCCCTTGTGAAATGATCACCTAAATACAAAGGCTAAAACACAAACTTACAGAAAATTAAGTTACAAATACACAAAAGTAGAACTTGCCCACCTCATTTCAGCTGTCATCACTCACTGTTCCAGTTCTATAAAAGACTATATTTAACAGTGTTGATACTGCAGCATGTGTCAGAGCCATACATATATTCTGATGCATTATTCAAGTACTGCCGAGTATACGTTCACTTTTTGGCATAAGAACAGGCTGCTCTTAAACTGAGAAGTATAAGCAACTAGAAAAAGGAAATCAATTCACATGGTGATGTTGAAAATGACCAGTGGTAGTACAAGGCTGCTTGGACTTGAAATGTTTTATTTTAAGAGATTTTTCTTTTATGAGTCTGTTGGGTACTTTCCAAGTACTGAAAGATTTCTCAAATGGTTAATATTATTCAAAATGAAAATAACTTTATGACTGTTTACATAACGACTAAAAACAGTAGGTTTCTTGAGCTACATTTTTAGTACATTAAACATTTTAACATATGTAAAAATCAAATATACTCGTTTGGAAGCTTATTTCCCCAATTAAGTATATTTAGTATATTTGTATTAAGTATATTTAGCTGTGATTGTTGTCTAATATTAATCTCATATTCTAATATTAATTGGATGTTTTAAGGCTGAAAAAGCTATGATAAAGTCTTAATAACTTTGACTCTTCCCCTAGTAAATCTAGAAACAAAAATGTGTGTACATGTTCATTCGTAGGGTAGTACTTAGAGCTATGTATTTAAGATTTCACAAGTTGAAGAATATATTTAGTCCAGATATGTTATTCAGAGATGTTTTGGTAATAGCTTTTTGATTTTGAGGGGATGGGGTCAATAAGGAAATGTAATAGTTAAAGCACTGTAAGTCATGATTCAAAATTGCAGTTTCATTCATTCAGTAGTTAGTATTGCTGAAAAAGAATGTGAACAATGATATATAACAATTCAACGAGCAGCTTGTTTTGATTGGGCCTTAAAGCACTGTATGTAAAATACAATCCTTCTAAGATTAGCAGCTTGTACTGAAAGTTTTGTCTCAGTTATTCAGAATTTAGAGTTTAGAGGAAAGCAATAAGCTATATAAAGAAAGTATCAAGCTTTGGGGTTTTCCATTAGTAAAAG